GGGGGGGTACTGCTAGGCTAGGTCCTACTTCTGTCTGTCCGTCTGTCTAGCTCTCTCCGAACGCTACTGACAGTTACCGTGTTGATGTGTGCTCCTCACCCCAACAAGCAAATGTGAGGCAGCGTGGTGGAATCAGGCTCTCGGCAATTTTTGGCCATGTAGAGGTTTTGGTACCATCTTAAAGCTTGTTCACTTGTCTTTATTTGGGTGAAAAAAATATCCATTTATCTTGAATACAAGTCGAGATATTTGCGAAATAATGAGGTGAGGGTCACCTGTTTTCAGAGGTAAACTTAGTAAGAAAATGGATGTCAAAGATTAGTTATTTCCTTAGCTTAAGAGTCCGTGGTAACTAAAAATTTACATTTTTTGTGCCTTTAATCGGTTTTTCAGAAAGATTCACACAGAAATGAGTTCTTTAATGGGCATGAAAGGTGTTGAGCCAAAAAACAAAAATTTAATTAAAAATTCACAAACCTGCGGGAAAAATGCAAGTTTCTTCACTTTGATTATTTTGACGAGAGCCTGAATCCACCACGATGCATCACAAAATCTAAGTCTGGGTTGCTGCCTTCCCCAAAGTATTGCTGCCTGTTTTGAGAGAGAGATTTATTTATCCTGTTTGAGGTGCGTCTTTGGATCTGTGTGGCATGGTGTATACTTTAGCTGCCTCTATGCATGAGGGTTTTTGTATTTTAGTCAGTGTATATACTGTTCATATCGCATTTGCCTCTTTCCAGAGTTCACATAGTGTTAATTTTGTCAACACTTTTCCGCAGCATTTTATTTCTATTGATGTTCTGTATAAGGTGCTCTTTGATTTGTTACTTGCTTTGTTGAAGACGATGGCTGTGTATTTTTGCTAAAATTATTAGTAAAAGTAAAGTATGGCCCCCCCCTCCATTTCGAATTGCGCGATCATGTGGAGTCGCTGATACGTCTTTAAGGAAAAGGAAATGGCTTGCTGTGATAGTCATGGTGCCTGAAGTTATGAGATTATGAGGGGGGGGGGGGGCTGAACTTCACTTTTAACTAGACAGAATATCATCAATGATTTTTGTGATTGTTAGGACTCATATTATGTACCATTAATCCAATATTTTAGGAAGACTTTTGTGAGATGAATATCTTATGCCAAAATTTAAATTGGAACCTCAGTATAAAATTTGTAGAATGGTTTAGACTTGAAAAAAAGGGACCCTTTTGTGACTGTTCTTTATGAAGACAGTTTTGACAGTCGTGTTTTCTCATAAATTCTTCAAATGTATGTATATATAAATGTTCAAATTTTGTCTGACTCAAGCGATGGGTTTCTGACCAGCCTCTTAGGGCAACGGTCTGACTTCTGGATGTTTCCTCTCTGTGTGCACTGAGGTTTCTGTATTTGGTTTAGGCCTCGCGCCCACTTGTTAGTTTTTGCCGATTCCAGGCAAAGCATTGTATGCAAATTAGCTATTTCGCTTGCATCACGCATTTATCGTGCAAAACACGATTTACGTACATGCACAATTTTTTGCCTTGCGTTGAATCTGCAGCCGCTCCACGATTCACCCAAGAAAACGGATAATTTTGAACCAATAGTATATTTTTGGTCCCAATTGCGTATAATATTTGCTAGAGATAATTGTTTTACATTAGATTCCATACATTTGAGCCGTTCTTAAAAGCAATTGAGTCAACAATTTCGATCTGAAGGCTTCATGGCCTAGATTTGGACCTATCTAGATCTAGATCAGCGCTGTGTAGCGTCAAACGACAGACTCGAGATTTTGCCTGTCTTCGGCAAGCGGCAAATGGGCGCGCATCATTTTTCGTGCCTGTCATCCGGGCGATGACGCCTGTCATCCGGGCGATGACGCCTGTCATCGAAAACGCATTACCTGGAACATGCCAAAAATGATAGGGGGCGTCCCACGTTATGTAGATAGTCCACGCTGAAGCCATGTAGTCCTCATCACATCTTCCCCACAAGTGCCTTCACTCAGAACGAATGTCTCGTTGGGAAACGTTTGGCGAACAAACTCAGGCCATGATGCTGTTACATTCAATGTCTTTGTGGGAGATTTATGATGTTTGCACAGAGTTGGGATGCTTGCATAGTCAGAATGTTTGTGCAACGTCAGAATTTTTTGCCCAGAGTCAGAATTTTTCTTACAGTCAGAACATTTGGACAAAGTCAGAATATTTTGTGTGATATCAGGATGTTTGCTCAGTCAGAATATTCGTGCAGTATCGGGATGTTTGCTCAGTCGGAATGTTTGCACAGATTCAGGATGTATGCACAGCCAGACTATTTGTGCAAATTCAGAATATTTACGCAGAGTCAGAATATATGTACAAAGTCAGAATGTTTGCACATCAGTATGTGTGTTTGTGTGTGTGTTGTCTGTGCGTATTTTTGCTGTTACACAGTGACTTGTCCCTGTTTCTGGAATTTCCCATTCATTGAACTATGCCAGTATAGGAACCTTCAATTAAGCGGGTGGTTGGAGGGCGCCACTGACATTTCCTGATCGTTTTCTTTTCCTCTGTAGTCTCAGTCCATCTGTTTGTCTTGCTTTCTCCATTCACTAAATGACCATTGCGGTATCAATGTTCTTCTTTTTGCTCAAACTCAGATTTCCTGAAAACTAAGTCAAGAAGTTACAGCTGTCTTGTCAGGTCAAATTCCGTCATGCCAAGTTTGAATATTGTTGTAGTGGTAGCCATATGAGAGAATCATCTTGAACGCCTCCTTCCCCCCACCTCCCTCCTCCCCCCACCTCCCTCCATCTGACTTCTAAGCATGTTTTGAGTCATTCCGGTGCCCTTGTTGTTACCAGCACATTTGTAACGTGTCCCACCTGGAA